ACGCCAGCAACCCTCCCTGCGCCCGCCGGCCTCCCACCTCCCACCCCAGCCCTCTTTTACTTACATTTTTAGTAGTTGCTCAGCAGGGAGGGGTGGAAACTTCCAGACAGCTCGCCTTCGCTGCCCACAACTTGCAGCACCGTTTGCAGAATGGGACTTTTGGCGGGCTCAGCAGGGCAGAGACAGCATGGACAATTCCTATTGGCTTTTGAAAGCCAATAGAATTAGACTCTATTCAAGAGAGTCTATTCTATTGGCTTTCAAAAGCCAATAGAATAAAAGGGAGTAGCACAGCTAAGGAAAAGGGGAAAAAATGGCGGACTGCGTTGTTTGGCGACCCCCGTGAAATGGTCGTTCGACCCCAAATGGGGTCCCGACCCACAGGTTGAGAACCACTGACATAGTACATTTAGTTGATTTCCTCTTTTCCCCCAAATGCAAATCTTGAATTAATACAGTTCTTATTATTTTGATAAATAACAGTTACATATATGATTTTTCCCAATATTCCTAGAAATAATGATCACATCAATATAACATTTCTTTTTTCATTTAATCATTCTGGTTGCCTCATCTTATATCCTGTTACAGTCCTTATTTAAATTTGTTTCTCCCATAAAGTTCAAAGTATTCTTGCTGGTTAAGATCTTCTTAACAGTTAATTACATTTAAAGATTTAAATCCATTTTTCCCATATAAAACATCTCAACACTAGATAAAAACAGTAAAAAAAAGGAAAAGAGAGCAAGAGTAAAGAAACATAAAAAGTAAAATACTACTTAAAATATATATTCCTCCTAAACTAATATATATTCATTCCCAAAATTTCTTATTCTTTTAACCATAATTAAAAATATATTTAATCTTTAAATATTCCATTTAATGTGTCTAGTCATCTAATCCAGGGGTGTCAAACTCAATTTCATTGAGGGCCGCATCAGCATTGCGGTTGCCCTTGGGGGCCCGGGTTGGTGTGGCCAGGATGGGTGGGGCCTACTGGGTGGGCATGGCCAGCTCTACATCGTTCGCATCAAGGGTGCCTGTGGGGGCCTGGGCAGAAGTGGGATAGATCTGAGGGTCTCTGGCAGAAGGGGGTGGGACCGGGGCAAACTCCAAGGCATGGTCCATTTCTTCATTCCTCACAAAGGGTGACACCTCCCCAGCATGCACCCAGGGGGCAAGGCCGACACGGCAGGGTCTGGTTCCTCACTGTTTCCAGACGGCCTTGTGAAGCTAAGACTGAATGTGTTTCAGCATAGATGGCCACCGCAAAATTGTACATTGGCTCCCGGCCAGCCTGGGCCAGGGCCAAGGCAGAGGGGTCCGTTCCCTCACTGTTTCCAGGATGGTTTCGTGGGCCACATGAAACCACTTCGTGGGCCGCATCCGGCCCCCGGGCCTTGTGTTTCACATGTCTGATCTAATCCTTTAACTCTTATTTAAAACATTTTTTTCTTTTTTATACATTGTAATTTCCCTAAATTCAAACACATTCAATTATCTAAAACATTTCCTTCATCTAAGCCATTTCAACAGTATTATATTACTTATATCAAGAAATAAAATAAAAAAGGAGGGGGGGAAAGCATACAGTATTATTTAAGGAATTCATCCCTCTTAGAATGACATATGTATTCAAAATCTTTTCTATTTCTTTAACCATATTCAAACAAATGTTTCTTTTTAAATATTCTCTCTGGTAGATTATTTCTTAATTTTCACTTTGCATGAAACCCAACCAATCTAGCTATGATTCAATATATTGTGTTTACCTAAAAAAATGAATTTGTTCATTAATGAAATTACATATAATTTGCAAATACAGCCCAGCAGTACAAAGCTGCCCATTTCTGTGAACATTTGCATTTATTCTCATTTTTCCATTCCATATTTATTACAAATTATAAGCATAATTATAAATAGAATAACAGAACCCAGATTTTTTTCTGTAGCCTATATTTATAACTGTCTCTTTCTCTCACTTTGAAGTTTAGATGTACAGGTATAGTATAGGGGGTACCTTGCTCAATAGTAGTAACTGTGAGGGGGAACTCAGAGTCCTAGTGGACAATCACTTAAATATGAGCCAGCAGTGTGCTACAACTGCCAAAAAAGCCAACACAGTACTGGGTTGCATTAACAGAGGGATAGAATCAAGATCACATGAAGTAATACCACTTTACAATGCCTTGGTAAGGCCACATTTGGAATACCGCATCCAGTTTTGGTCACCATGATGTAAAAAAGATGTTGAGATTCTAGAAAGAGTACAGAGAAGAGCAACAAAGATGATTAGGGGACTGGAGGTTAAAACATATAAGGAACGGTTGCTGGAATTGGGTATGTCTAGTTTAACGAAGAGAAGGACGAGGGGGGACATGATAGCAGTGGCAGCCCCAATATCTCAGGGGCTGCCTGAGGGCAGGACAAGAAGCAACGGATGGAAACTAATCAAGGAGAGAAGCAGCCTAGAACTAAGGAGAAACTTCCTGACAGTTAGAACAATTAACCAGTGGAACAACCTGCCTCCAGAAGCGGTGAATGCTCCAACACTGGAAGTTTTTAAGAAGAGACTTTATAGCCATTTGTCTGAAATGGTGTAGGATTCCTGCCTGAGCAGGGGGTTGGACTCGATGACCTCCAAGGTCCCTTCCAACATTATTATTATTATTATTATGGATCATCGCACAGTCAGCCAGATGTTCAGACTGGATTTGGCATTTTGTCTACCTATCGAGTCCTTACCCAGGACCTGGGATAGGCAGATGTGGATGTTTGATGGTATTACAGATATTGTCGCAGGATGGAAGCAGTTCCTAATAAGGCCGCCTTTTGCAAGTGACTAATAGCGAATTTGTCAATGCCAATTGTGTTCAAGTGGTGCTCCAGTTGTTTTGGGATTGCACCCAAGGAGTCTATGACTATTGGTACTACCCTTGCTTGCTTTTGCCACAGTCTTTCTATTTCTATTTGTAGGTCTTTGTATTTTGTTATCTTCTCCACTTCTTTCTCTTCTATTCTGCTATCTCCAGGCACTGCCACGTCCACTATCCAAACTTTTTTGTCTTTCTTATCGACATTTGTTAAGTCTGGGGTGTTATGTTGCAGGTGCTTGTCTGTTTGAATTCTGAAATCCCAGAGCAGTTTAATTTTATCATTTTCTATCACTTTATTATTATTATTATTATTAGATTGGTATGTTTTGTTATATAGATAATCCATTGAAATGATGGTGTTATGGTCATTGAAGAATGGTTCTTAAAGAACTCTAAATTTCAATAATTCTCTTTTCTTTAAGTGGGGCTTTCATCTTGAAAAAATTTGTAAAGCCCAACAGCAGTTCAAAAATAATAGTATAAAGAAATAAATTTTCAAGGCCATTCGCTAGGTCATGGTTAGCATCCAAGTTACAAAGAATTTTCATTCTTCTATATTTCCTTAAAATATATTAAGGGTCACCTGTGATAACACAACCAGTGAAACAGTCCATAAAAAGCAAAATCAGACCTCCTACTACCTGGAACCTGGAATGTACTAATACAAATCCCAGAATCTCCAAACAATAGGAATGATAAAGCAGTCCCAATATATCTAAAGGATATTAGGATGGAGAAATTAATCTTAGTTTTTTGCGTATTTGGACCTCCCACTTCCAAACTTTGCCAAAAACACTCTCCAAGAAAAGGAAATGATTGCAGATGAAGTCATTTCTTCCATGCCAGGGGAAAAGATGGAGAGAAATCCCAGCCTTCTTCCGTTTTTTGTCTTCAGGGCATTTTTGGAATTTCCTTCAGGAAGTAAAAGGCTGCAACCTAAAACATTTCTTTCATTTGTCAGGCAGCTGAGTTTTCCACCAGAAAAGGTTACAGAGAGATGACACACAACCTAAGAAGGTGAGGGTTATCTTTCTAACCCAACTGCATCCTGCATTCAGATTTACTGTAACATTTGGAAAGTGTGAGTTCTCACTGGTTGTGCCTCAGCTGAAAATCTGCTTTGGGTTTCACAATGTTTTTGATCCATCATAAAATAAGAAGTTCACAGAAATGTTTTGTAATGGAATAAAAGTCTAGCAAAATTCACAAGAGGCAATTGGCTTATAGTCAGTCAATTCGGAATTTTAGCTTAGCAATAATTGCTATATAGAAATAAGATCTATTGTGGTCAATAGAGGCTTCCTCCAGTTGGGTGGATATAATAGGCTTGAAACTTACTTTTTACAGTGATGGGAGGGGGAGAGAATACCGTGCATTCTTTCTTTAAAAACAAAAAACAGAACTATTCTAACCAGAGAGCGAACATAAAGCCTTGTAGGAAATATTAGTTCCCCATTTTATTTCTTTTGTCCCTTAATTTGAATGGGGTGGTATGTATACTGGCATGCATGTGTGTAAGGAAAACAAACACATTTCTTTTCTTTTTTACACAGCTGTGAAGGAGATGTAGTTCAGAGATATTTTCAGAGTCCTTACCCACACATGGGCTTGAGATTTCTGTAATGATATTTTTCTCAATGGTTGAGCACAGTATTTAAAAAGAACTATTTGATCCTCTTCTGTGTAACCTACCTGCAATCAAATTATTCTTGCAATCATAATTTACTTTTTCTCATTCAGCTTCTCTGGCCTGGTGTCTGTCAATTCCTAGCTAGTTAGCTAGCAAGGAAAGGAGTTGTATCCCAGAACATCTGGAAGCAATCAGATTGGGAAATGCAGCTCAACTACTATTTATTCTCATTTGAATCTTGGCTTGCTGATCTAAGAACCAATATTAAATATTTGGAATAAACCCTACGATTCTACATTTTCAAAGTAACATTCGCCTGTAACAAATGAAATTGTTAGGGTATGTCCATGTGTGTCATGCGTAGATACCATGATTAATATTGAGCGGTCTTTTCAGTGCAGAAAGGAAATGAACATTTCCATAGAATGCTTAAAAGTATCCTGTCAAAACTATAACAGAGCCATGTATGACATCAAAGGAAGGATAGCTCAATGTACAGTTTATACAAAATCCCAGTTTATTAATACTTAAAGGTCAATGAAGCTATATTGTACAACCAAGTCAGAAACATTTTACATATGTTTTAAAACAAATTGCACGGAAAATAATGCTAAAAGGGCCAATAACCTTGTTTCTAACATCCATCTGTGAATTCAGCCAATACTTGTACATTAATCTGTTGGTGGCAGCTACTTTGCATATGATTAGCTCAATAATTGATGGATTAACAGCCACAACAGTGGAGTCACTGCTGCCATTTTCATTTTTTTATTTAAACTTTGGATCCTGCCAAATGCAAAACATAGGACTCTTCCACTGAACTCTGATGATTTTAGGAGATACCTCACTCATACATACACAAAGACACTCACTCATTGACTTTATGTTAAGCAGCATCTTTAGAAATTCCTTCTTTCACACAACTATTATAAGTACACAAATCCTCAATATCCTCCTTTGCAACTGATTGATCTTAAGTGGAAAAGACAAATGTATGTCCCAAATAATTAATATATGGACTCTCCCTTCAGGTTGGGATGAAGCATGAATTTCTCATAAAATTGAAAACAACCAGTCAAGATATAAAATAGCATCTATGCTTATTAGCATCTCTACATTTTATATTCTCAAATTAAAATACACACACACACAAATACAAAATAGCAATTAATGCTGTAATAAAATACATTCATTTAACACAAATAATACTTTCCATGGATGGACATGGATTTGCAGTCAATGGACAACATTTAAAATGAATGGACGCACAATGGTTACACAAGGATTTTAAGTGTGGACATTTGGCTGAAGTTGCAGAATGGCCCAATCTTATTTCTTTGTTCATTCTTAAAAGTCTTAAGATCTGTGATTCATCTTTCAGCCCAAACTATATCTCAGAAATCAATACATAAAATGTTGCACATTGAGGTAAACCCACCCCCCTTCAATAAAGTATATATTTATATCTCCAACCCACCAAAAAGTATGGTCACAACAGACAACTAATAAAGTTGCTAACCAAGTGTGTGGCAACTGTGAGAAAGAAAATAGTCTGTGCTATGGATTAAAATAAAACCATCAAATTGTAATGTCCTTACACAAATCTAGGGTTCATCCATATTTATAATGCAGTGCAAACCTCTGGGTGCATTTCAAAAAAGATGTAACACAACTGGAAAAACTGTAGGATGATTCCTTAGATGATTATGAGAAATGAATAGCAATAGCACTTAGACTTATATTCTGCTTCATAGTGCTTTACGACACTCTCTAAGCAGTATACAATGTTAGCATCTTGCCCCCAACACTTTGGGTCCTCATTTTACTGACCTCAGAAGGATGAAAGGCTGAGTCAACCTTGAGCCAGTCAGGATCAAACTTCTAGCAGTGGGTAGAGTTAACCTGCAATATTGCTTTCTAACCATTGCGCCACCACGAATGAACAATTTACATAGCAAAAGAAAATAGGAAATCTCATATGCTGTGTAGAAAGAAAACAGGGAAAATGTGTATCCTTCACAAAGAACATTAGGATTCAGAAAAATCATTCTAAGAAGTTGAGTGCAAAGAGAGGAAAAACAAAAGAAAGCATTTTGTCACACAGCACATAATTAACCTGGTTGTATTCATTACCACAAGACAGAGCAATGGCCATTAACTCTAGTGGCTTTAAAAAAGCAATGGATAAATTCATGGAGAATCATTCTATCAAGAGCTATTAATTTTGAAGAGTTATAGGTTAGAACAGCCTATCTCCAAATAGTAGTTGCAGACCAACAGTAGTAGAAGGATATGGTTCCATCTCCTGCTTGCAAGCACCCCGGGCACAGCTGTTTGATCAATGTGGGGACAAAAAGAATAAGGAAAAATATGTATCCTACACTAAGATAAGGGAGATCATGCAAAATTTACTGGAAGGAAATTAAGGCCTCCAGCAGAGCCGTTCTTAACATCCTTAAGTTTACCATGAGCAGAAATGGGACATGGCTGATGGTTAAAACTGTTTATACAAAGCTGCTGTTAAAAGTTTTTAAAATGCAACTCCTTACTGAAAGCAGCATATCAGCTTTTTTTTTTTAAAGGTTCAAATGAAACATCTATTAAGTTCAAACAGCCCCAGTCTAATTCACACATATCACAGTCTCACTAATATCTTGAGGAGTCAACTACAACCAGGATAACCCACAGCAGTCTCCAGCACCTAATTCCCATTGACTTTCCACTGATGATTAAGTGCCAAAGGGATACATGCATCCGAACAACTCTTGACTTAAGATCCCACCCTGATTCTGTTTCTAATACTCAGAATATACTAGCACATTTCCTTCCCTTGACAAGGGAGTTAATTGAAGAAGACTGTCAATCCAATACAGCAAGAACTTTGTTTCAGGGGTTCAGAAGTTTTGCCTGGGGGGGGGGGAATTGAAGATATTTCTCTCCTTCCCCATTCATACTCCCATTCAAAGGCACTGCTTATCCAAGTGTCCACTTTTCAGAGATGTATAGAGCTTAAGTATTCCTTAGAACCCTAAGCTGCCTCAGGGCAAACCATCACACAACATTCTCCGAGAGAAGAAATATTTTCAAATGATACCATGTGTCGTATGCTATCAGCTGCACCCAATCAATACTCTATTTCCCCTTCAGACCAACTCGTTCTCACTCTCCTCCTTCCGTCTGGAGACATGCAAGCAGAGCTATCCCCCAGGTGTCAGCCTTCAAGGGGCTCAGGCCTCCATTTTGCCAAAGCTCCTAAGACGAAGAGGTGACATTACCGGAGGACACGATTGTTTCTGGAGGATCCCCCTCATCTTTCTGAGGATGGGAGGAATTGTCAGATTTACTTCGGCTGAATTCTATCCCTCCAATGATGGGTCTCTTGACTTTGGTCCCAGAGTCTGTGGTGGGACACGTACAGCACCGTACAATCTTGAGAAAGGCCCTCCGCATCTCCTTGTTGGTAAGTGTGTAGATGATTGGATTGGTGGCTGAGTTCACAACTGCTAGTACTAAGAAATATTCAGCCTTGAAGAGGATTGGACAAGCCTTGACTTTGCACCTCACATCCAGCAACAGAAGAATGAACAAGGGAGTCCAGCAGACAATGAACACACTTAAAACAATAATCACTGTCTTCAGCAGAGCCAGTGACTTTTCTGAGCTCCGGGTTGCTTTGGCCACATTCTTCCGAAAGGTCAGCCTACGGCTCCTTGTCCTTACCAAGATGTAGATCCTACAGTAAAGGATCACAACGGCCAATAAGAGGCCAGTAAATATACTGGTGCAAAAGAGGATATAATGCTTATGATAAAGAGGCAACACTGTGGAGCAGTTCTCCAGGGAGCCAATGCAGTTCCACCCCATAATAGGGAGACCCCCTAATATCACAGAGATGACCCAACAGGCGCTGATGAGCAGGAAGGAACGAAAACTATTGCTGCCATTATGGAGCTTCATCTTCAACATGGTAATATATCGCTCAATCGCAATAGCCAGCAGGCTGAAGACCGAAGCAGACAAAGCCACAAACATGCTTCCTTCTCTAAGAAACCACTGGGCAGGGGTGAGGGTGTAAGTCGTGGAGCCGGACAGAAGGATGTTAGCGATGTATGCCACTCCTGCCAGCAAATCTGAGAGTGCCAAGTTACCAATAAAATAGTACATGGGTCTGTGGAATTTCTTGGTTTTCCAAATAGTCAGCAGAACAAAGATGTTCTCGAGGATGATAAAACAGCAGATAATGATGAAGACCACCGATGTTGCTTTGATCCCACTTTCGGCATTGTCATTGAGCTTCCCGGTGTAGTTGTAATGCCTGTTGATGATGTCATAGTTGAGGTAGTCACTGACATCGCTCCGGACCTTCATGTGGGGGGCCCTGGCAGAGTCCATGGTTCCAGTCTGGACTGCAGGTTTCCAAGCGGCTGGAGAGAGGTGGTGTAGAATGACAGCCACTTGCTGTCCCTCCTGCTATATCTGAGGTTTGCAATTCCTATGGCCCGTATCTCCTCTTGGATAACCTCAGAAACCAGGACCCTTAAAAATCAAGGGAGACAAAGCAAAAGAGTATTAGTTAAAGGGTATTTGATTTAAACTAGTACAACCCAAAATCCTACAAGCTGAAATCCCAACATCAACTGCTGCAAGTCTTAATTATGCAGAATGAAAGACTATGAAGAAACAGTGGTTTGATTTAATTCTATGCACTGCTCACATTTGACTGGTTACACAAACTACACACAAGGCCTGCAAAAATAATAGCTTGTATCCTATATGATTATCTAGCGTACTATCCCGACTAAGATAAGCTGTTCTAAGGTATAGCATGTTAGCATGTACAAACCGCAGCAGCCACAGGCTCATTTCAAAGCCCAGGCAACTGGATACGCTCACACATTAATGTTTGTAATCATGAGGACAAGAGATCTATTTTTATTGCACATAACAAATTCTTCTGATTTTTTACAATGGTGGCTAAATTATATCACAGCAGGTGGCAGCACCTAGCTATCCTTGGCAGATTTTGAGAAAGCAAAGCTAGCTGGACCTGGATAATAATTAGATAGGATGCCATCAGGAAACCCTTGGAGTGCAGACCTAACTGGGAAGTAAAAGAAAACAAACAACCCCAAACCACAAGTAGGAAACAGCAAACCATTTCTGTACTTCTACCAAGCTAAGCATACGGATATGCCCCATAGTTACCTGCACCTATCTGCCACTCAAGACAGCATTCCCTTCTTAGCCAAATTATGCAGTTTGCAAACATAACATTAATCATTTGTTTTTAAAAGATCACCGAGGACCACACCAATGAAATCTTTTTCAATGCCCACTGATCTCACTGAAACGGAAAAACCTGAGTGCCGAGCACAATTCAAACGCATGAAATCAAATCCCAGTTCTGAAAGGCAGAGCTTAAAAACAATGAAAGGAAATAGGAATCACTCAGAATTTCTGAGGCAAGAAGTTCCCACCTAATTCCACGTCAACTTCAGTTGACAAGTCACAAGACAACTTATTCCTGTCTATGCATAAGCCAGGGAGACTAACGCCAATATCATTGTTTATAGCCAGATAGGAAACTTTTTGCTCTTCAAGTGCAATGCACATCAATTCCAGGACCTGTCCCTGATGGCAGCCTAAACAATTTTAATTCCTGAAACATCTTTCTTCAGGTGGCTGAAGCAATGGAAAGAAAATTGTTTTGGTTGGTTCCACACAAACAAAAGAGGCAAGTTAAGCTTCAGAAAGACTCACTTTGTAGAAAAGGCTTAGAGAAAGATCATCTTTGAACAATGGACTAATTGTGTTAGTTAAAATAAAGATGACCAGTAAACTGGAGGGACTATTTTCCCCCCATTCCCCCATCACCAGTTTTAGGTCTCTGGAATAAACTCAGCAAAAACCTAGAGGACAAAAGGAAAGGCACTTGAACTTTTATAATTGGGAGCACAGAGAGAGGGGGGGAGGGAAAGGCTGATTTTGGGCTACAGCCTAGCATGTAGTTTGGAAGCTTAATTAGTTTGCACATGGCATTACCAGATGAAAGAAAGTGTATGGAAAGATATGAGTAAACATTCATGGTGTTTACACTAAGTATTTAAAATAGCAGATCAGTCCAACACAGAAAGCAAAGTTAAAACTTTCACTGGGTGCAGATGTTATAGGATAGAAGAGAATGAAAGTTAGCATTTGAGTTCCATTCCCTTTGTTGGAAGATCTTACAGTTTTTTTTCTTTTCTCACTGAGCCTGGATAAATTGGGGAAAAAAATGGACTCTTCAAAGACACACACTGGATTTCTTGATAGACGATCAACTCGCATATAAATCTTTGTCCTTGAACACACACCATGCCAGCCTTTATGCAAATTCACCTAACAAAGAAATGGGAGGTATCTGTCATGTTCTGTGTAAGATAACCCAGCTATTCCCCTTACACAGAACATGATAGATACATGCCACTTCTGTGCTTGGCAGGACCCAAACATTTCACCATTTAAATTTGTCTACTTTTTGTCCCCAGATGTAGAACATCTGTTTTGAATAGGGCTGTCAACCAGCTACAGAAGTTTCCTTTCTGCAACCATTCCCTTCCCAACCCAACCCAACCTCTTCTCTAGGAAGCAAGAGACATGGGTACCCCTATAAACCCAAACAGCATTCAACAATTAGGCTAATAGGAAAAGGGCTAGATCAGAATCTTGCCATTTGGAATCACCACAATTTCTCCAAGGCATCAAACATTTTGTTAAACAATGTGCTGATATATTTTTAAGACAGCAGAGAGGGTCCAGTGTGGATACTATTCACACAAAGCACTTTGTTTTGAACACTGCTGAACACATACATATCTCAACGCCCCCCCCCTCCTTTAAACCTCTACACTTGTGAAGGGAATTTAATTAACTACAGGCTGAAAGACTTCTTAAAGATGATCAGGTCATCAAATTGACTGAAACCCGACTTGCTGCAACCAAGTTTTGTTAAAACAGATCAGCCCTCCTGTGTCAAACTGAAACTTTTGTGGTACAGAGGTTAACAGCAACAGCCAGAATCAGCGAGGGGGGGGGGAGAGATAAGGAGACTGACTTCAAGCCCAAACCTTTGCAGAAATTACAGCAGAAATAAAAGTCCTGATCTTTGGATTCTCCAAAACGGTCTGGTTTTAACTCATGTTCTTTCAACATCTCTTCTAAAACTGCGCCTGTTTTCAGATCCTGGGGGGGGGGGATGGAGAGGAGAGAGGCTGCTGCCTTCCGAGTTTCATCAAATATTCACGTGTAACTTTCAATCAATGGAAACATCTCACAAGACACCTCTGGGCCATTCATTCTGGCTGAAGACCAGAACGTGTCTATTCCGTGGCTTGTATTCTACGCTGATAGTATCTGCATCAGACAGGAGCGGTAAATTGCGTGGTTGGAGTTATTTTGCTCCCCCCCCCCAAACTTTGCATTCCCGTTAGCTTCAACATTTTTCATCTTTTTAGCTGTATTAATTCACCGCTACGCGCACGAATCCAGACAGCAAATATTCCCAGTAGATTCCACCAAGTTCTCCAAGTTAACCGTCCAAGGCTGACTTTTTACTAAGCACGTTCAGTACCTGCTACCTGCTGCAACACTAGATAAGAGACTGGCAAAGCTTTCCCAAATCAGATGCCAGCACAAAGTTAGCTGGTAGTTGGTTCAAGCACAAGATTCCTCGTTTTCCTGAGTTCAGTTGCTACCGGTAGGAGCCAAAAAGTTGAGAGGGAATTTCGCCCGGCTTGTGCACGCGCGCAGAACTCTTCCAGGGAACTTTACTCGGTCAGGTTTAGTACAACGTAAACCTTTCCGCCACATCTCCCGATTCCCGATAAAATATCCGGGGAAATTCCCAGAAAATAAAAAAATAAAAAAATAAAAAAGAGGGAGAGGCAAAAAGCTGAAAGCTGCGCCCCTATGGAAGTAAAATTCTAGTCAAAACAAAACGGGACTTCCAGCCCAAGGGACACGTACCGGATAACCACGACTTAAATCTCCACCGATTCCAAGGTTGGTCCTGCGAGGTACTACTTCCCAGGGATTCGGAGTTTGGCTAGCCAAGGCACCGCCAGCCCAAGGAGGTGTGTTATTCCAAAGCCTTCGCCGGCCAACCGACTCCTGGCTGCCGTCGCCTTTTCCCACTTGGCGAGTTTCAAAGCGTCCCGGAAAGGCGGAACGCGACGAAGCGCTTCACTCCCGCTTTGCAAATCCTGGCCGGATTCCTGCAAAGCCCGCGAGACCCTCGCTCGACTCTTACCTCGCTCGCCCGGGGCGCCGCTCTCGCCGGAGGAGGCTGCATGGCTCACCCTTCACCTCGCGCCCGGCCCACCCGTCGCCCCCCTTGCCTAACAAAAGCGGGGCTGGCTCCTGAGCTCATTGGAAGCGCTTTCCTTCCCAAGCGTCGTCTGGGTCTCCACCCCCTCCCTTAAACTCCCATTTCTTCTCTTGCGCGGCCCAGGCGACTTTCCCTCTGGCTCGGTGTTTGTTTGTGTGCCCTCCTGCCCGGCCTGGAGACCAGGGAGGATCTGGCCGCTCGGATTTCACCAAGCAGCCTCCTAACCCGGGCGTAGCCTCGAAAGGGTTAACACCTGTTTCCTGCGCCTCTGGCTGCGCTTTCAAAGTTTTGTCTGGTTGGGGTTTCTTTAAAAAAAAAAAGAAGGGTGAGTGTACGCGAGGAGGGAGAGAGGCTGGCGACCGCGGAGGGGGAAGCTCGAAAGTTAGCTTGCTGGACCCCAAATGCTGGTCTCCACAGCCTCGTTTCCCTAGATTTTTGCCCGAATTTCCTGCCACTTCCTTCCTTCCCCGGCTCCCTACTGGGCTCGCCGTTTTGCCATCCCGTTTTCTTTTTAATCCCGGTCTACAAAAAGAGTGTAAACAAGTGCAACAGAAGAGGCGCTAAGAGCTGGTCCGTTGCCCCCCCCCCCGCCTTAAAAGTTTAACTTTTCCGTAGGTGCAAATTTTGGGGAGTCAGTTGCGAAATTTGGGGCGCAATTGAAGTTGTAAGTCGAGAAATACTTGCCCCTCCTCCCTGCCTTCAGGAGGAAATCCAGAGAGCACTATAATTTTTTTATTTTTTTTTTTACTCATTGGTTTTCCTTTATCTAGTTTTAGGTCTTATGTGGAGAATATAGATCACGTGGTATTTAGACAGAGAGAGTGAAAAATCCGGAGTTCACCAATTTTTAAGCATGCTGAATGTTAATATGATAACAATTCCCCTTTCCAAATATCTCGGCATGATAAATCGCTCTATCAGATGTTCATTTTATGCTCTTGCTACAATCTGAGGAACATAAAATGCATTAGAATAGCAGATTTAAAAAATGACAACCAGGTACTTCCCAAGACCCTGCTAACACTTATAGGTAATCCTCGACTTACAACTTCAACTGAGCCCAAAATTTCAGTTGCTAAGCAAAACATTTGTTAAGAGAGTTTTACCCCGTTTTATGACCTTTTTTGCCACTTGTTAAGTGAAATCACCGCAGTTGTTAAGTTAGTAACACGGTTGTTAAGTCAGTCTGGCTTCCCCATTGACTTTGCTTGTCAGGTCACAAGAAGTGATCACACGACCTTGGGACACTGCAACCGTCATAAATATGAATCAGTTGCCAAGCATCTGAATCATGGGGATGTTGCAATGGTTGTAAGTGGAAAATGATCATAAGTCATCTTTTCAGTATCATTGTAACTTCAAATGGTCATTGAATGAACTGTTGTAAGTGGAGGACCTGTATTTATTAGATTTTTTTATCCCACTTTTATTACAAGTAACTCGAGGTGGCAAACTTAAATACTCCTTCCTTCTCCTATTTTGTCTTCAACAACAACCCTGTGAGGTGGATTGGGCTGAGAGAGAATGACTGGTCCAAAATCACCCAGCCAGTTTTTGTGCCTAAGGCAGGACTAGAACTCCCAGTCTCCTGGTTTCTAGGCCAGCACCTTAGCCACTTCACCAAACTTTGAAATAGAAAGCTTGCCCAGAATATTGTAAAAAAACAATAGTAGTTCATGAGCTATAAATGAAGGCATTTCATTTTAATGATTTACAGGCCTGATTTGTGAGACAAGATGTTTAACAGGGAAGTTGTAGGAAATGACTGTGTGTCTTCAGCCTCCCTCTGAAACCAGGGAGAAGGCATTGTAGGCGTTGCATCTGGGTGGGCACTCACATGTACATGATCAAAGATGCTTCATGGCAGATGTTTGGTATGTGGAATTGTTAAGGAGGTCCCCAGTTTCTCCATGTTAAGCAACAAATGAAGATAATCCTGCTGTGAAAATTCTGCTTCTTTATTGTCCAAAATCAGTGAAATGCTCTCAAGGTACCCAAAGGAGGGATGCAGGGGGCACATATGGCTCATCCCTATGCTTAGCCATAAAGATTGTTTACCAACTGTAATGGTTGGATTCCTATCACACTTTAAGCTCAAACGAGTTACATTTAGCATGATCCAATCCATGGGCTTCTTCCTCAAACTCTAATTAAAACAAGCCATAGCGTGATGATTTGGACTTAGCATAGCTTGACAGGAGATAGCAACTCAGTGAATGGGTCATACTGAACTACAAGATGGAAACTGGTCAGGACAACAGGCAGTGGCATTCTCCCCTTCCCCAAGCCAAACCATTATTTATGGTTTGAAGCCCAGGAAGATGGCTATCGCATGGCTTCCCTTTCTTCCTGTGAAAACATTCTGTTCTTTCCTCTTATGTAACCTCCTGAGAACTAGAATCACCTCAGTCTTTATTTAGGCTATTCAAGATGTTTTATCCTGTTTCTCTCCACACTCAACTAAGGCATGTGGGAATACTGCCATCCTCTCATTGCTCTGAGCTGGAGAAACCCCACTTCTATTTAGCAGTCAGGAAAAGCCTAACCATATTTGTAGCAAGGAGGTAAAGGGTTTGGTGAACTGGTGTAAGGAAAAAATACTGGAAAAACCAAAGAGATCATTATCGATTTCAGAAAAGGCAGACGCAGCCACACTCCTCTGTGCATTAATGATTCACCTGTGGAGATGGTTGCCAGCATCAAATTCCTGGGTGTGCAGTTAACAAGTAGGCTGGTTTGGTCGCTCAACTGGTGAAGCGGGCACAGCAGTGCTTGCATTTTCTGCGTTGCATGATAAAAGCTCATCTTCCTTCCCCTGTCCTTACCACTTTCTACAGAAGGATGATCGAGAGCATCCGGTCATACAGCATCACAGTCTGGTTTAGAAGCACCATAGCTTCAGACAGGAAGGCGGTGCAGAGAGTGCTGAGGATGGCTGAAAAGATCATTGCCCTTCCATCCAGGACACAGCATATATGTGTTGCTTGAGCAGGGTCCGCAAGATTGTTTGGGACACAACACATCTTCTTCACAACCTGTTTTTCTTGTTACCTTCTGGCAGGAGGCTCTGTGTTATCCGAAGCAGAACATCCAGATTCAGTCATAGTTTTGTGCCATACAGTATTAACCTTGTGAATTCTAAAGCTTCCTCCTTCCGTTATGTATTCAAGATGGACAGTGATTAATATTTATATGTAAAGGTGTAGGTACATACATATGTATATAGCATGTTTATATGTGTGTTATGTATGTGTACACTTTGAGAGCAAGCAACTAAATTTCATTTTTAATGTGTGCCGTTGTGCCCACAGTAAAAAATGACAATAAAGGTTGTCATCATCATGATCATCAAATGGCAAGGACTGAATACTATTCATCTTCTCCTTTTTCCCTCTCTTTTTATGGAAATGGGATTCCCAGAAGCCAAGCGCTGATAATCAGGTGCACAAGAGAGTTGTTGCCTCCTCCGTTCAACAACTTGGGTTTAAAGTATGAGATAAGGGCAGCATACCGGCTTTTTGAAGACATCATAGGAAAGGAACCAGGCTAGTCTACAGTAGTCAAAAATCAGGCTCTGATGGTACTTTTTCTGATTAGCTTCTCATGTGAACTACATCTCTTTGACTATGTATCTGATAAAGTGAGCTATGCATCACCAAACTTTATGCTTCTTAATAAAAAATTTGTTAGTCACAAAAGTTATTACCACACTTCTCCCTTTTGAAGTTAAAAGACAAGCAGTGTCCTTAAGGAAATCCTGTCTCCTTCATTCATAGTCAGGCTGTTCTTTCTTGTATACAACATTCACAAAAACTTCCTGGAAAAGGACTGAATGTTGTCAGAGAATACAGGCATTGTTGGCAAGTTATTCTGAGTTCAGTCCTCAGCGTCTCTTGTTTTCAGGGTGGATACAAGCAATCTCTATTTTAGAATGTGGAAGAACTATTATCAACCAGAGCAGACATTAATTTATTGTTGTCATAATCTCTTCATAACAAGGTGAAGTCACAGCTGCCAGTTCTTAGTTTGTTTTGGCCTTCGTATGCATCATTTCTTCCCAAGAGCTTATGACGTAATGTATTAATGTAGTATAAATGAGGATCCAAGCAGTGTGGCCTTTTACAATTGACAGGTGGAGATTTTTTTTCAGTGCTCAGATTTTGTAAGTGCCATCCAAGATTTTTGGTAGGCCAATAACCATTGGGACCACCACGGCCAGTTTATGCCATGACCTTTCAATTTCAATTTTCAGATTTTTGATACTTTTGTGATCTTTTCCAGTTCTTTGTCTTCTACTATCTCCTGGTATTGCCACATCAATTATCTATGTATTTTCTTTTCAACCACATTAAATCTGGTGTGTTGTGAGTCAAGATGTTATCAGTCTATATTCAGAAAACCCACAATATTTTAACCTCATTTTTTACTACCGTTTCAACTTTACGTTCCCACTAACTTCTCTTTACTGGTACATGATATTTATAGTTGTTCCAGTGAATCATTTGGCGACTGTGTTATGTCATTGTTTATAATCAGTTTGTGCAATCTTCTTGCATAAGCTGAGTATATGGTTTACTTTTTTTCTGCTTCT